GCTCTGCCCCCCCTTCCCCTCCCCACGGGCCCCCTGGGAGACCCGGACACACGGCAAAGCCTGGGGGGGGCCAGGGAGGGGAGCCCCCCTGTTGCCTGGGTCCCCTGTGGTGGGGGGGGTGGAGCCCCCCCATGCCTGGGTCCCCCGTGGGGGGGTCACGAGGCCAGGCCCCGCGTCTGTAAACTGTCCACCTCCTTGTTCTGCTTCAGCTCCTCCATCCTGGGGAAGGGAACATGAGGTTGGGGGAGTCAGGCTCTACTAAGGGTCTCCCCCACAGTGTCACCTGTCCCCAGGCTCTCTAGAGTGTCACCTGTGTCCACCCACACCCGTGACACCCCTCAGCCCCATGTCCTCCCACTCCATGTCCCTTTGTCCCCCCATGTTCCCGCACCGGTGGCGGCAGCGCCGCAGGAACCTCATGATCTTCCGGGCCGCCTGGTCCTGCTTGAGGGTGAGGAAGGTGTTCCTGGGGAAAAAGGGAGAGGAGGGTGAGGACCCCTCTGTCCCCAGTGCCTGGTGTCCCCAGACGCCAACGCCCCAGTCCCCAGTGCCCCCAGTGTCCCCAGTCCCTCCGGTTCCCCCAGTCCCCACCGGTGCTGCCGGAGGCTGCGGAAGCGCTGCTGGATGAGCACGGCCGCGCGCCGGCGCCGCTGGAACCGCTTCTGCTCCGCGTAGCTCCGGAACTTGCTCTGGATCAGGATGGCGGCCTGCGTCATCCGCTGGAACAGGGCAAACTGGGGGGGACACGGGACAGCCCTCAGCACCCACGGGGCACCCCGGGGTCACAGCACCCCGAACAGGGACTCCAATGTCACCTCAATGTCACAGCACCCCAGTCAGGACCTGTGTCACCCCGGTGTCACAGCACTCCAGACGGATCTCAATACCACAGCACCCCCAAACAGGGACCCCGGTGTCACCCCACTGTCACGGGGCCCCCAGACAAGGACCCTAATGTCCAGGTGCTCTCCCAACATCCAGGTACCCCCCCCGAGCTCCC